CAGCTTGTAAAGGTTACAGACACTGACAGCTTATGATCCAGGTTCTAGTCCCAGAGCAGCCGAACACCAGTGGTGTGTGTGTGGGGGGGGGGGGTGACCTAAGGGCCACCATGCTTGCTTCTCTCCCTTTTTCCAAAAGTCTGCAAAGGATCCCACAGCTGCAGAGCCCTCCACCCAGGAAACAGGAAAGGTTGGTGAGCGTCGGGATCTAGGTACAGGAACTGAGTCCTGATCCAGGGTCTTGAGGACCCTGGAAAAGAAAGTGAGGCTCAGGAAAGGATGGGGTGCAGGGGTGAGGGCTGGGAGCAGCGGGAGGGTCAGATGAGGTTCTCCAGGAAGAGCCTCTAGTGCACAGCTCTCCTCTTTTTTGAAAAGAGGAACTCCAAAACCTTTGAGCAAGATGAGCCCAGCCCCTATCTTCAAGCCGGCTGCAACCCCGTGACAGAGGTGATGAGCCTCCAGAGGCCCAGCTCTCCAATCCTTCACCCCTTTCAGCTTCTCTGCCTCTTTCCTCCTTAATACTCCCCTCCTCAAATCTAAGTTGCACTTTTCAAAAACTAGCCCTTTTTAGAATCTTTTAAGACATGAGGACAGACAAGACAATTTAAATAATCTCTAAACTTCAAATAACCAGCCAGGTCTAGTGGTTCACATTGTAATCACAACACTCCCAAAGCTGAGGCATGAGGCTTGTCATCAAGTTGGGGCCAGCCTCAACCACACTGTGAGTTTCCAGGCTAGCCTGGAATATACAATGAAACCCAGTCTCAAAACAAATGCTTGCTAGTCTCCTTTTCACTTAACCAAACCAAATGTATGAAATTTTTTTTTCAGACATAGCCCTGGCTATTTTGAAACTCAGATCTATCTCTGCCTCCAGAGTGTTGGTATTAAAGGTGTGCACCACCAAGTTCTGCTCAAATGTAAAGTTTTTAAAAAATGGGAAATGTTTTGTTTTTTACAAGCTGTTAATACTACCTCTGTCAACTGGCTGTTATACTTAAAGCACAAAGAAACTATAAAGAGAAAAACCAAACCAAACACCTAAGTCTTAAAAGCAGCCCCCACATGATCTTTCAGGGTAATTTTAAGAGCAGACACCCAGAGATTTTGAATCAGAGTCTTTCTACAGCTGTTATTTGTCTTACCCCACAAATAACACCAAAGCCCACTCCATCAAAACCACACAACTGAAAAAAGTCACTCTGGATTTAGTGATGGGAACCACAAATCTTCCCTTCTTTACTAACATTCCCCATCTGAGAAACCACCACAGTAAAATTTTACCTTTTTAATTTGGGTTAGAAAACCCAGGGTCAAGAAATTCACAGTGCTTTCAAGGGACAGTTAATCATCTACTCGGGCAAGTCCCATCTCCGAATATGAACCACTGGGTTAAGAAACTATGGGCTTTACTAGCAGTAAAGGAAATTCATAAATATATAAAATACATTTCTAAATGAACCTCAGGTGGAGGGGGAATGAGTTTCAGTGTCTATGTTTCCTTTAAATACCACATTAAAATTCAGACAACCATTTCTTCACTTAAAAACACCTAGGCTAACATCATTTTTACTAAAAGTTATGAACTATTTCTATTTTAAAGCTTGTTTTCCAGATGGGGGTTTCTCTGTGTGTGTAGCCCTGGCTGGACTCGAATTCAGAGCAGAACAGCCTGCCTCTGCCTCCCAAGTACTGTGACTGAGTTTATGTGTAATTTTTATGTGTATGGGTGTTCTGTCTTATATGTGTTTCACCTTATCTGAGTTAAAGTCCTTTTGGATTTGGGTATTAATTCATAATCAGGAACACGTAAGTGCTTTAAAAGCCCAGGTTGCCTCATATCTCTCAACCTTTCTCCTTTCATTTTCAGCCACTAACTCCAAATTGCTGTTTGCTTTTTGATGAAATGCAAACTTATTTCTGAAGGTAGTTTTAACATGCTTTGAAAAGACTTATTAGTGACTCAATTATTCAACGTTTCTACAGTTCATTTTTAATCAGTTGAAAATATTTCCTGCTATGTTAAAAAAAACAGTCATTCACAGATTCTTAGGTGCTGAGTCCAGAAAATTAAACATAAAATAGGAATCTGACTGAATACATTCTCTTTAGAGTTTTCACCCCTGGAAAACAGACCTAGTTTTCTTTTTTTGTTTTCGTTTTTTTGAGACAGGGTTTCTCTGTGTAGCCCTGGCTGTCCTGGAACTCACTTTGTATACCAGGCTGGCCTTGAACTCAGAAATCCGCCTGCCTTTGCTCCCCAAGTGCTGGGATTAAAGGCGTGTGCCACCACCGCCTGGCAGACCTAGTTTTCATTTAAATCAATGGAAAAAGTATTAACCTACTGCATTTTAAGTCAGTTTAAAGAAAAGAACTACTGTCAACCTGCCTAAAGAAATCAGCAAACTTGGAATCAGCTGGGGGAAAAAAGCAATACACATCTTTTCATATGCTGTTAACAGCAACATTTTATTTTGATGACACCAGTTGACAGTAAATATGCAAGGTTTAGGGCACACTCCTAAAAAAAAGGCCTGGGGGTAGGTGCAGGAAAGTCTCATTCTCTTGAAAAGTAAATCATATCAGTGTTCTTCCCTAAGGAAATCTAAGATGGCACCTCCTTCCTTGCCTCAATTGCTCCTAAGTCTCTGGGAAGAAAATATATCTAAAGACAAACACTGCATAACTTTTTCAACTGCTTTGGGTCCCTTCTCCTTTTAGCAACATTTGACAGTGAATAAAATTCTCAACAAAGGCTGACACTACTAACCAGAATCCCCATACTAGGGAAGGTAATGGTAAATTTTAAGGACTCTTGTATTGAAATTTTAAATTATTTGTTGTTTTTGGCTTAAATACGGTGTTCAGTCTCTTGGGTTTTAAAAAGGTATAAATCACATCTAGCAAATACATTCAAAGGGAAAACAAATACTGATACTTTTAAATCACAATTCATTAGTAACTAAGTGTATCAAGAGTTCAATTTTAAATGCCACTGGAAACACAATACATGTAGGGAAAAAAAATACACTTCTACAGTTCATTTAGCTTAGGTTAGTCCTGACTAAACTCTTTTCTGTATGTCTAAGAGACTGGAAATGTCAGCAGCAAACACAACTGAAGAAGTGTGTTCAGACACAAACTAGAAAACAACACAACATGCTTCCTCAAGGAACACAAACTGAATTAAGGAAAACAAACTTTTTTTTAAAGCCTGGGACTTCAAAAACTGGTTCATACTAGAAATAGTCCCTTCTTACCACCACTACCCAGAAGGGGTGGGGGACAGACAATTGATTCAATGTTTGGTTCAAAAAAAATTATTTCAGAAAAGGGGAGATCTAATTCATTACAGACTGGGGGGGAAGGGGGTGGACATATCATCTCTCAAATTCCCTGTCCATTCCAACTCAAAAGAGCCCAGAGTGAGGCATCTGAGGGGACAAGGAGCCGAAATGCCCTCAAAGCCAGCAGATGGCTTGCAGAGAAAGATCCACAAATACAGGGAACTAGGAAAACTATAGTATAACTGTTTTCAGTTAGTTCCATTTCACCACAGTTTTCTGTTTCTTTCTGTTTTGCCTTCTTTGGCTTTAAAATTTAAACTGTCCTCAAGAGCAGAAAGGAAAAGTGACCACATATTTCAGAATTCCAGTTATTAGATCAACATGGCTCTAAATTCATACAAGCATGATCTTCAAGGAAATACTCTGTTGTATTATTCCCATCTCCAAAAAAATTTTTTTCAAATAAAGCTTCTTTTCCTTCCAATTTTAGTGCCTCTGTTAATTCTAAGCACCTTCCCAGTAACAGCCTCAAGCATTTGACAATCACATACATGCTCTATAAACACAGACACAAGCCATACTGATGATCTTTAGCTACAATAATTCAGTTACTTAAAAATCCGAAGCCAAACCACAGCAAACAGGATCTCTAGCTAAAGTTTCTGGATTCTTTAAAAATATGCTCTCCCATCCCCAAAAGCAAGCACCCACACAAGATTCCCACCTAGAAAGGACCAAAAACTTCAGAAATACAGCAAGTTCCCAGCTGAGAGAGAGGTTGAAAGGGTTGCTTCCAACTAAAGACAGGAAAGAAAATTGCACTGTCAACATGTTCAAAAAGTCTGATGTGAGAAACACTGCCCCACAGCCAGCAGACTTCGGAATTCGAGGAAACTAGAAATCCATCCTGAATTTTAAAGAAGCAAGATGGAGATACCCCATTTTTTTCGGAAAAGACAGAATACACAGTAAAAGGAACTCACAGGATAACGAACACACACACACACCATTCATCCCCGGAGTTCTAGACCCTCCAAAGAGCCCCAGCTCACAGCCTCAGCACAAAGCTCACCCCAGATGGTCCCTTGTAACAATGGATTGAAGGGGTGGGGGTGGGGGGGCTGAAAAGGGATAGTACAGTCAAAGCATATTCTTTGAAAATCCAGTTGAGGAGGCAATATAAGATGCAAGGGACCAGGGGTGAGGATCTGTGTGGGGGTAACAAAATCCATGCCTGTGACAAATTACTAGCACAGCATAGGGAGATCTGAGTGGGGCAGGCTGCTCATTATTCACCCCCAGTAGAAAAAGAACTCCTTTAAATCGACTTAAAAATTGTGATGTAAAAACGATGAGAAACATAGGAAAAGGGAGGCCTGATCGGAGGCTGTAAAAATCACCACCGCCATTAGCTTAAACTTCCCATACAAAAAAAGGGCCCCACACTTTGCACTCCACAGAGCTCCTACCCTACTGATTCTTTTTTTCTCCTTAATTCTTCAAGTAATGTCTTTTAGCCCACCCCAATCCCAAGTTGTTGGATTTCTTTTAAAGCTGTAAAACAACCATTACAAGCTCTTGGCCAATCTCTCCCAGCCCCCAACATCCGGAGTTGGGGGGTGAAAAGGCCAGTAAAGGGTTTGTTCCATTGGAGACGCTATGAACCCCTGAATATTACTCTCAATTTCTCAAAAGGAACTCTTTTCCTACCTTTGTTTTTTGGGGACCGAGTGTTCAATCTCTAAGCGTTTTCCTTGCAGTTCTACTTTCCCTGAAGATTAAAAAAAAAAAAAAAAAGACATGAATGAGTGTAAAGAAGTGGGGGGATGGGGAGGAAGGGTGGGTAAGGGACATTAGCTAAATTCTAGAGTTCCTGGGGCCTCCTAGGAATCCAGGCACGAGCTAGAGGCCTGTGGGGGGGGGGGAGGTTGCTCCAGGCTTGATAGAACCCGTAATTTCGTTGTTTTTCAATTTTTTCGTTTTATTTCCATTAATCACGTGGGCTAGTTGAACAGACTGCTCAGATTTCGGAAAGGTGTGAGCGTTTGTGCGAGCGCGCTGCTTCTGCGGCTCCAGAAGTAGAAGGAAGGAACCAGGGGAAAGCAGGACCCCGTTTCTCGAAGTGGGACGGGAGTAGAGACTTAAAACTTTATTTTCCTGCAGTCACGGAGACCAGGCCCGGTCGGGGCCACCGGGCTAGCGAAGGGCCCCGGGGGGCGCGACGCGGCCGGGTGGGGAGGGTCCCTCGCGGCAGCCGCGCGCCTCTCGGCCCAGCCTCGGCGACTCGGGAAGCAGCATGGCGACCCGGCGCCGCCGCCGCCGCGCCACCCGGCTCACGCCCCACTTTCAAATCAAAATGGCTCAAGCCCCAGGCCTTGGGCGGGAGGCGGGAGCCCCTTCCTCCCACGTCCTGCCTCAGGGTTAGTCACTAGGAAGAGCGGGAAGAGCCGAGGTGCCCGTACCCCCCCTCCTGGAAAGGCCTGGGACGGAGGGCAGGGGCTTTGGGGGTGTTCTAGCGGGAGGGGGGCTGTCCAGGGGCGGGGGGGGGGGATCGGGGGAAACCACGCCTAGACCCGAACCCCGATGCTCATGAGACACCCCCACCCCCACCCCACCAGTTGCCAACCGGGGCTCCCGCCCCGTCGGTGGGGAGGGGGGCAGGGAGCCACGAGCGACTCCGGCTGGGGGAAGGGGTGAGGAAATCCCGAATATCTCTGCGCGGGGAGAAGGCGTCGAGGGAGGCCGGTCGAGGCTGGGGACGAAGGCCGAGCCCTCCCGGGCCCGGGAAGAGTTGGCGGGCAAGGAAAGAGGAGCTGCAGGTCCCCGTTGTTCCGGGATTTCGTTTATGTGTGTGTGTGTTTTCCGGGGAGGTGGCCGCGCTCTTACCCGAGAAAGTTTCGATGGCCTTCATCGCCCAGTGCTCGTCGGGGCAGTCCACGAAGGCGTAGCCGGATTTGACCAAGAACTGGCCGCTGTAGGAGATCTTGTGCTCCGCAAATACTTTCTCCAAGTCTGCGGGGGTCACGCTTTCGTTGAGGTTGCCGATGTAAAGCTTGTTCATGGTGGCGGTGGCGGGGCAAGGACACGGTCCCAGGCAAGGCCGAGCGAGGAGGGCGCGGGCGGAGAGCCTCCTAGGCCGAGAGGCGTGGAGATGGGCGGCGGGAGCCGCAAACTTTCTACGCACCCTACCCCTAAAGTTGTCCGGAGCTCCGGGCGGGTGGGCGGCCTGAGGGCACGCGGGGGTCACGGAAGAGTTCGGGTTAGCCCGGGAGAAGTGCCCGCCGAGTGCAGGGAGGCTGACGACGACGCGGCGCGGCTCCTTCCCTTCGGTCCGAAACCCCTGCGAGCGGGCTGGTGTGTCACGTTTCTCCGCGGCCGCCCTGGCGCCGCCTCTAAATAAAATCGACTTGAAAAAAAAAAAATGGAGCGGAAAAAAAAGGCGAAGCCACGTGGTGACAGCCCCCACCCACCCTGCAGGGAAAGACCCCCGACGCCACCGGGCCCCTTGGCCCTCCAACCCGGACCAACCCAACAGTCTCCAATGTTGGGGGGGGGGGCGGCACTCACCGTACCCCAAGGGTAAACCAGGAAAGTGGAGGCAGAGTTCCCCCCAGCTCTCCTATCCCCCTCCCCTTTGGCAAGAACCTGGCCCCTAAAGCGGCGCCCCGCCCCCACCCATCTTTCCTCTGTGACCTGTAAGGGGGGGCGGTGGCGACCCAAATCTCCCCAGTTCTTAATAATAAATGTAAGATAATTCTTGTATTCGTTTTGTGGAGACTGGGTTGCCCACCCCACCCTGGCAAACTGCTAGCGACTGACAGGCGGGGGACGGCTGAGACAGACAAAGAGAAGCTGAGGACTCTGGGGTCTTCTGGAGGGGGTCGCAGGAACCGGTTATTTAAAAGGAAAGACGGCTTTCCTCTACGTTTCTAAGTAGGGGGTCGCTGTCTTCCCCGCTACACCCCTAGACTTCCCTGGGTCCCGGGTCCTGATCTAGGGGACCCTGAGAGCTCGGGACCAGGAAGCTGAGAACACGGGAGACAGCGCCTGAGAACGAGGGACCCGCAGGAAATCGTGTTCCGGGATCCCCACTAGAGAAAAGCTGGCTTGCACCCAGTCCAGCTGCTGGATGACAACACTCCGGCGTTCTTGGGGGGAAAGCCTGCTCGACCCGGCTCAAGATCACCCCCGAAGACCAACTGCGTGGGGAAAAACGACGAGGGGTGGTCGCATCACCGAGCGCCCCAAAACCAGAGGGGTTGGCTTCAGAAGGGAGGGACCGGGTTGAGACTCGAGGTCCCCCTCTCCCTCTCCACGCAAGGAGCGGACAGGTGGCGTCGCCTGCCTCCGCTCCACCCGCGATGCACAGAGCGGTGGTCCATGCGCAGGGTGTGGGTCTCGGAACTTAGTTTGGGGTGCTAGATTTTGGGGGGTGGGGGGGATGCTGAAGCCCCGCCCAAGTCCCCAGGTCAGCCCGGGGCGGGGAGGGGGTAATTTCCGCTCCGCGCTTGAGGAAGCGAGCAGCGGGGGAGGGGGCTGCGGCCCTCCTCCCCCCCCCCATGGGGAGGGGGAAGTGGATCCGCCCAGGTCCCTTCCCTCGGCTAGGACCGACGCGTTCCGGATCCTCCGGCTCCGGGAGCCCTAGGGAAAGACCGGACTGGGCAAGGGACGACACGTGGGCGGTTGCACCCCGTCTGTGCGGTGGGGGAGGGGGCCGCGCGCTGGGAGTCCGGGACACGCAACGGAGCGCGGGACGCGTTGCACACTCAGTACCGGGATTCCCGGCTCTACGCGGGGCACACCGAGTTTTCAGCGGCGGGGGCTGGATCGACGCCAGGGGGTGGTGGAGAGCATGGCATGGAGACCCCGGAGAAGCCCCCTGCCTGGCCACCGCGGAGAAGAAGGGGCCGGAGACACCACCCCTAGAAAGAGGGATGTTCCTTGAGCCGCGCGAGTCTGCGAGTGGGAGGAGGGTTGTCGGGGCACGCGTTCTGAGAGGGCAGGTGAGGAAGGGGGTCACTCTCCCCTTCCCCCGTCCCGATCCCATTGTCTCAGTCGCCTGCGGCCCGGGCCGGCTCCATAACACGTGTTGACTACTCCGATATAAATGGCTTGAATTTTTTTATTGTTATTTTTTTCGTTTGCAGAGTCTGTAAGCCAACTCCGACTTCGGCTCACCGCCCATCTGCCGGATGATTCCCTACCATTCGAAAAGTCGGGAGTTAAAACACAACACCCAGCACCTTTGTCCCCCTCCTCGTTTTCCCGGAGAGCCGGGAAGAAATGGGGCGGGGGCGGGGGGCTTCTAACTCGGCTTCAGAGTCTCCCTCTACCACCTTCAGAACCCAGTCTCTCGAATCAGCGTTTTGTTCTAGCCAGCCACGTGTTTGTCGGGTTTTTTGTTTTTGTGACATTTTTCTTCCCATGAAGCAACAGGAATCCAAATATTACAAGCTATTAGTTGCTAAGTAGGAAAAAAATGTTTACTGTCCAGGAAGATGGGAGATGTGTGTATCTCTGTCCCCACACGCCCTCCCCGACATTCTCCCAAACCCCCACCAACTTGGTGTTTTGTCAGCTCTTGATCACAGGGTAATTCTCAACGAACTAAGCCAATGAGCTGGAAACAGTGCCTGCCACATAGTAGGCACTCAGAGTAAACATTTTTGAATGCAAAACAAACAGGAAAAAAAAGAATTCAAGAAAATTAAAAGTCCAGTAGGGAGGGATTCTCTTGTCTGGATTGTGTAGATCTGTTGCCTGGGGACTTAGGGATATGTGGATTTTTGTAAGGGCTAAGAGATGGTCTTAGAAGCTGTCTGTTACAGTCTTTGGGTCTTCATAAATAGTAACTGTCTCTATATCTTTTATGTTCGGGGACAAAGAAGAAAGTACCTTGGCAGGACATCCCAGCTCTCAAAAACTTTAGGTACCGTTTGCTTCGTTTACTTTAAATCTTTAGGTGTTGGTAAAAACACTTCTCAGATAATCTCCCTGGGTAACCTAACCACTATTCTCTTTCTTCCTAAAACAAAAGCAACTTAACCCTCAAAAAAAAAAAAAAAAAAAAACTCCTCTCCTAACCAGACTTGTAAGCTCCTGCAAAATATAGCCCATCCTTTACTATCTTAAACCTCAAGAGAAGCAAGACTTAAAAATAGTGATGTAATTCAATTCACTTTTAAGTTGACTCTCTTCCCATTTAAGATATAACTTAAAGTTGGCTGGAAATAGGTTTTTAAAGGTTTTTGTTGTTGTTGTTGAAATGACAATATAAGGAAAACAAATTTCAGAAGAGAGTACTTGCACAGTCTGTTTTTTGAATCTTCTAAAATTATTTCATTAACAAAGTACCAATTATTTCTATTCACACTGATTCCTTTTAGAGTTAGCTGTTTCACTAAGTTCTAATCCTCTCTCCCCCTCCCTCCCCCCTTACAAAACAGGGCTTCTGTGTTGACAGTCAGGGACTGCAAAAGTTTTTAAGGAGGCAAGAGTAGATAGAGGCGGCTGGGGTGAGGTGCAGTTTTGAAACCCCCACATGAGTTTTGCCTCAGTGACTTGGCTATTTAGAATGGGGCTGGGGAAGCTAAGTGCTATTGCCTGATACTTTCTTCTGCTCTGAATGTACCCAACACTAAAGTGGGTACCAGAAGGCTTGTTTCTTGTTAGAACTCACATTCCTAGGTCAGTGCAGGAGAGGACAGAAGACATTTCAGTTCCCTTTATTAATGTCTTGCTTTGGTTTTGATTTTAAAGAAAGACATTGTTGGGGGTGGGGTCCCCTACTGTTCTTATTGTAGGAAAAGATGAATCTTCACAGTAAATATGTATGACTTAAAATAAGGAAATTAATGGAAGACAAAAAAGTAAAAAGTAAATGTGTAAAAAAAATTATCTGAAGGAGAAATTTTTCTAACAATTCCATTTATTATGTATTCATGATATTCACTGTTATTATTACTTGGTTTTGGTCTCCTTTCTCCTCTTCCATTTCTTTCCTAGATAAGTGTTTGGTCAGCTCCCCTATAACTTGGAAACACAGAAAGTGGATTCCATTTTAAAGACAGAAGTCTGTCCATTTTCCTTCCATTTGAACATGCAAAGGAAAAAATGTGAAAGAATAAAGCCACTTTTAAGTTGATCATTGAAAAAACAATTCCAAAAAAAAAAAGAAAAAAAAACCCAAATCCAAAAATTCTATCCTTGCACAAACACAAAATTCAACTTATTTTCAAGTGTTTCTTGCCAACATTTTTCAGTTTGTAATCGTTTTCTAGTTTTTATCTTTTTTATGTCTTTGTTTTTCTGGCTGCTGTACTGTGGCAACTTGTTATGCTGCCTCAAAGATTTTGTAATCATGTGTTTTATTTAGGCTAATGGACAAACCATTCATTGCTGTTCAACAAATAAAATAACACTTTTTAAACTTTTATAAGTAATACTCTTTTAAACTTTTAGAATTAAGTGCAGGAGGGAAAAACAATGCAGAGAAGACATTTTGTTCATATAATTATTTCTGCTTTTGTATTAACTGCTTTGGATGAATCCCCAATATACATATTGCAGTTTAATCTTAACATTTACCCATGATTTGTATCTTAAAATTTTGTTATGTTTTATAAAAAAAAAAAAAAGAGAACACACACAGAAAGGAAAAAATCTAGAAAACTGTTAGGGAAATATATTAAAATAGAATATTTTGTGTTTTCTAATCATAGTTAGTTTTGATATAATCATGGTTGCTTTGCAATACAAAGAACATAAAACATTTCCTGACAGCTTTGACTTCAAAGTTTCTGGATATTTTGAGGTTTTTTTGTTTTGTTTTGTTTGGTCTGAGTTTTATGTTGTTTATTTTTGTTGTTGTTTGCCTGTTTTATTGTTTTTACTGCCTTGGGATGTTTTCTGTCTTCCTGCAGTTTGAGGTATGGTTCTTTTTAAATGCCTGTAAACTTTGAGAACGTGTAAATTAGTCCCTCTTTTAAAGGACAGGCAGCATTTTCTCCTGTCAAATAAATAAGGATAATTATGTGCTTAGGATATCTCGTGAAATATAAGAGGGTCATAAGCAGAAAAGAACATTTTCTTCATTCAAAGCATCATTCACTCAAAAGTGTTTAAAACTTCTTAAAGGAATGTTTTTTAATCGGAAAGGTAGAACTCAAAGGAGGGTGGGCTTTAAGCACAGTTATTTGTTTTGCTGAGTCAGTTTGTGTGACAAAATCTTAATCTTTTTTTGACTCAGAATTAGTGAAGGAAATACTTTATTCTAGT